AAAGTTGATGTGGCACCTTGCCCAGCCCCCGGCAAAAAAGCACAGGAAGCACTTAGCGTCGCAACATGCGAAATAAAAAATTGTGTTGCCTGCTTTTCAGCGGAATCAAGGATGGGGGTGCACTGGCTGGGTCCCAGGCATTGAACTTGTTTCGGGTGGCTGGCAAAGGTCGAGGAGTCAGAGTCGCAGAAATGAAACACCAAATAAATAAAATGGAGCAGAACAGAGCAGAACAGGACAGTAAAAATGCTCATAAGGGCCGGGCCATAACTCAAACTCAGACTCGACTTTATAGTCTGTCCAATTACCTTGTCCCTGGGAAATTGCCCGCTGCCTTTGTTCGGCCTTATCGGCCCGCTTATCGAGGGCATACTGTCGGGCAGGGCCTAATTGAGCTAATTTCCAGAAGGATCCGGGCTTAAAGCTACACACTTTACGCTTTCTGCATCCATCATCCGCTCCGGAGTTGCAAACTTATGCAAAATAAAGATGAGGATTGTACGTGACCAAGTGCGTAATATGCAAAAAGTTGAGCCACCTCCCTACGCCCTGCGAATCGCAAATGAATGTCAGCCGAAGGACAAGCACACACACACAATTTATATATATTTTACATGTATATCCTGCGGAGCGAGGACTCGTCGTCGGAGCTTGTCAGACAAGTCATGGCCATGTAGGATCACCGGAGCCACGCCATTTGAATTCCTAAGCAGGCAAACAAGCAGCAGCAGCAGCAGCAGCAGACATGGTCTGAGTCGGGGGAAAGTAAAAGTTTTCCTTTAATTTCGGACAATTTATTTTAATTTGCCGGAAAAAGGAGCTGGCATTCTCACTTGCAAATCATGTGGCGTGCAATTAGGCGACGCTTTCACTAACAACAAAGGCGGGTCGCAAGTAATTCGAATGGAGTGACATGGAGACTGGCACTGTCAACGTCTCGGTTCCCCACTGGATCCGCCAGGAGTCATCTCCCTTGTCGCCTCGACAGCTGCTGAACACGGTGCGTATGATTGATGCAGACTACCAGACGCCGCAAATGTAATTTGCGAATGTTCCTTTCTCCCGTTCACTCCTTGGGGGATTCCGTTGACGGATGAAGTTTCGCATAGTTTTCGGCTAACCAAAAGCCTTGTTTGAATGTTAAAGTAGAAGGAAATAGTAAAGCATTCAGGAATGTATCAAAATATTTCCTAAGTGAAAGCCACTGATTCGGTTTCTAGAGAGATGTTATAAGAACACATATAATATGCATATGAAATAGCAAACTTAAAAGTTGTAGTTTTAAATTTAGAAGGCAAAATATGTGAGAAAGATCTTCCCCTCTTTTCCATCTGTCTCAAAGTAAGTTTTTGGCATCTTAAAGCAGCATCGATCTTCGTTTTGGCCGAGGTAAATTCAATCAAGTCTCTCCATTTGCAAGCCAAATTGAAAACATATGTTCCAGCTTGGCATTTCGGCCGAACCTAAGACAAACAGGGAGTGCGGAGTGGAAAAGCTACTTAAAAATGTTGCACACGTACAGCCAATTGTGAGCAAACAGTTCGGAGGAGGGTGCCTGGGGGTGGAGTCAAGGAACTTTGCCGCCACATCCCAAATTCCCCTGACAGGCTGGCAGAGGCAGCTTCATCAGGGTTCCACATCCACATCCCCATCGTCCACATCATCATCATCATCATCATCGGGCACATCATGAGGCTCATCAGCATCAACTTGTCTGTCCCTACATCGCCCCAAGAGCTACTAAATTTCACGCAATCACGACCACACACACACACAGAGTCCTTCGTCCTTCTTCAATTTTCTGTAGCTGGTTTTTTTGTGTGCCGGCAACTGCCTAATAAAATATTTAGTTGCTGGGAGTCATTGACAAGTTTGCAGACAAGGTTCTTCGGGTTTTGTGGTCTCTTTATGCTCCTTGATGAGACAGAAACGAGGCTGTCAGGTGAGTTGTGCCTGTTCCTTACCTATTCCTCAGCCAGCCATCTATCCCACAGCACTGGGAGAAACAAGGGAAATTAAGTTCTTAGTTTATTGGGATGTATTGTACTGAAGTTGAAAGCCATAACATAATATCGTGTTTTGGCTTTATATTTTAGTTAAATTTTATGTTAATATATCTAGTCTAGACCCATGTCCTCTTCTAGTTTCTTAACTGCTAAGTTATATTTCCATTTTATAAGGATTTTCAGAAACAATTATTTTGTATAATTTCAGGAAGTTTTTTTTCTCAGTCCACCCATTTTTCTCGCTCGTTTTTTACGACACCCCAAACGTATTACCCGACCATTGAAAGCGTTTTGCCCCAGGAAATAATGAAAAATTCAGAAACCAATATTTAAAAAGCCATCAAATCAAACAAAGTGCAACAATGTGTGATCCCGAATCGGGAGCCCTCCCTTCCATTTCGGGGATCCTTTCAGCGTTTAATATCTCATCAAGTGTTACGCTTTACGACTACTTAAAACCCCATAAAAAACAAACCAAAATAAAACTGTGGCAAGGAACGAGCGACCGAATCCCAAACAAAATCAACGCCAAAAGCCGTAAATTTGCTCCGTCCGTTTCAGACCGGGTTTGCCAGGGAAAAGCTGCTGAAAGGAAAGCGAAAGGAAATGCAAAAGCGAAAGAGCAACAGCAACAGCAACAGCAGAAGCAGGAAAATAGCTACAAAAGCAGCGACAGCAGCAAGATTTAATGATGCAGCATGATTTGCGCATAAAAAGAAGCGGAATAGAATGGAATGAAATGGAATGGATAGTAGAGGGCGGGAGCGGGGGGCGTGGCATTATAGGTTGACAGACATCGGCAACTGCTGGGCAAGCTTTGATAAAATGCAGCACTCACATCCCCAATCACTCACATCCTTCCCCACTAAGCCATGTGTACACTGTACGAGTATGTATGAGGACATATATATTCTAACACTTTAGTTGCGCATAAAACGAAGGACTGAAGGAGTTTTCATGTGTGCCACAGCGGGGCACAATGTGGCAGCTTCCCAGTTTGCTGGCCAAGCAATATATGCACATATATAGTCTGTACTGGAATTTGAATGCATGCCTGCGTCGAAGGGTGAATAAACCCTTATGAATACAGAGGAGCTACAGTGGAGCCCAGATCCAGGAAACTAGAATTTGGAAATACATTTTATCAGAAATTTACTAACTTGGGCTTGGTGATTTCTTCATGTTTGAATAAGAACCAAGTCTTAATTAACTATAAGATATTCTCAGGCTAAAAAAGGGTCACTTATATGTGATTTCATACCTTCTAAGGCCTTTCCTATGTAGTACCCACTACTATAAGGTACTTCTAATCAAATTTTTAGATAGATCATAGCATAAAAAGTAACTATTATTGGTCTTAGGAAAGATCTTTATAAGACTCCAAGATCATATTCCATTAGTTTGTAACTTCTTCGTCAACCCCTCTCGCTGACTCAATGAAGTGACTAAAAATTTCTAAACTCAACCAAAAAGAGAAGTAGAAACTAAAACAAAACTCAGCTCGATAGCAAAACTGTCTAAATATTTAATTATATTTCTCCCATAGCGCTTGCGGCTAATTTGATGTTTTAACCGTTTGCTAGTTGCTTGGCTTTTGTTGGTGGCTCCAACTTGCCTTCGGTCAATATGCTAAAATATTCAAACAGTGAACCCCAACATCAACAAAGGCCCTGAGTTGAGTTCGCTCGTCGGGGCTGGGTTTACATCATATTCAGCGTGGATGACATGACAAACTGGAGTTCTAGTGGGATGACATAAGCACGCCGCGATGAGGGAGAGTGAAAAGTTTGAGAATTGTAAATGAGAATGACCAGGGTTAAGTCGGCAAATTTTCCCTTCAAATCAAACATTTTCAATACAATCCATAACAAATTACTATATTTCCCTTCTTAGCTTGTAATTTATTGAAAATGTTTAAAGTATTTCATCAGCCAGGTGTGTATAATGGTCAAATGCTCTTTAAATGGTAGGTGAACTGCGAACTCTTATCAATAATTGGGGTTCTGTTTTTGATAACAATGGCAAGGGATCTCCTTTTTTGGGAAAGGCCATGAAATAAATTACTTTATATTGAAATGTTTTCCTTTGTGCATGGATTAGTTTGATAAATGCAACCACGTTACCGGTTTTCGTATATACTTTTAATTATTTTACATATTTATGACTTTTTTTAAGCCTTAATGCCGTCACCCACCTACAAATGCAGTTAATTACCTTTTATAGAGAAGGCATAGTTTTCTTAAAAAAGGTAAGGATAAATAAACATCTATAAATACTAAGTAAAACAAGTTCTTTAACTAAAGGTATACTCAGAGATTTAAAGTAGTAGTAGTAGCCGCATTTATTCAGAATAAAATGGATAATAATTAATAAAAGTTACCTACATGAGATTTTTAGAGGCTAACAAGTTTTGAGTGTGTACAGAAAGTATTCTGAAAAAGACCGACAATCATCAAGAACTATTTGAATCTAAAAGAGACAAAGAAACCACGATTTTAAAGATTACATCCCATGATATTTTGGATATACACTCCGACTATAATGCAACTTTAAACCCTAAACTCTAACCTCTGCCTATTAAAAGTTCACATTTTGTAGTGCTGTGTAGTATTTGTTGTCTCAGATTAGATTGCACTGCTGTAGATAAATTCATTCGATTAGATTGTTAGAGAGAGGAGAGTTCTCTCCCAGTTTAAAAACTGTCTCAGCAGATAACAACAAATATAAACAAATTAATAAGCGCAAAAAACACAACCGCCGGAATCTATATCTCAGCAATCGCAATGCTTTTTTTAAAGAGAGCGCCAGAAAAGTATTCAATGTTGAGGTCTACAGCCAAATCGGTCAGAATAAAAGCTGCTGAGAACGTAGATAGATACTTATAGCAGAGTATATACACATACCTATATTTGATTACGAGGGGTATAAAATGCCTTGTCGGGTAATTGTGAAACTCAGTTTGCAATAACTTGTCCCAGTGCTGAAACGTTAGCAATGGCTCTCCTGGAAATTGGTCTGGCCCTCCTGGCCATCGGCTTTCTGATCTACAAATGGAGCACGGCCACCTTCAAAACATTCGAGGGGCGTAATCTGTACTTCGAAAAACCCTATCCATTTGTGGGAAATATGGGGGCATCTGCCCTGCAGAAGGTCTCCTTCCAAAAGCAACTCACCGAGTTCTACAATCGAACTCGTCAGCAGTAAGTAGTTTGCGACTAACTTTCAGGTTCAATTAGCCATAAGACTGACTTTGAAATTTTCAGTAAACTTGTGGGCTTCTTCAATCTTCGTACTCCCATGATAACCCTGAACGATCCGGAGCTGATCAAGAAGGTCTGCGTCAAGGACTTTGACCACTTCCCCAACCACCAGCTCTTCATTAGCTCCAACGAGCGCCTACTGAACGACATGCTCAGCGTGATGAGGGACCAGCGATGGAAGCACATGAGGAACACCCTTACTCCAGTCTTTACGGCGGCCAAGATGCGCAACATGTTCACCCTGATGAACGAGAGTTTCGCGGAATGCCTGCAGCATTTGAAAAACCTCCAAGGCAGCAGTAAAGAACGAAAAGGGTTTTGAGGTGGACATGAAGGTGTTGTGCAACAAGCTCTCCAACGACATTATCGCTACAACGGCGTTCGGACTCAAAGTAAACTCATACGACAACCCGGAAAATGAGTTCTACGAGATCGGACAGTCACTGGTGTTTTCCCGCGGACTTCAGTTTTTCAAGTTCATGCTGGCCTCGTTGGTGCCGAAGCTCTTTAACGTGAGTTTCCTTGAGCTTTCTTGCCTTGACATGATGTCTTAATGGATTGTTGTTTTTAGTTTTTCAAAATAACGATCTTTGACTCCGGCAAAGTTGAGTACTTTGTTCGCCTCGTAGTGGAGGCCATTAGGTACCGAGAGAAACACAACATAACCCGTCCAGACATGATCCAACTGCTGATGGAGGCCAAGAAGGAATCGGAGGATAACTGGACGGACGATGAGATCGTGGCCCAGTGCTTCATTTTCTTTTTCGCCGCCTTTGAAAATAACTCAAATTTGATCTGCACCACCACCTACGAACTGCTGCAGAATCCCGAGATCCAGGAGCGTTTGTACGAGGAGGTGAAGGAGACCCAAGAGGCTTTGAATGGCGGAACCCTTAACTACGATACCGTGCAGAAGATGACTTACATGGATATGGTTATTTCTGAGTCCCTTCGCAAGTGGACTCTGGCCGCCGCAACCGATCGTCATTGCTCCAAGGATTACACACTTACTGATGATGATGGCACAAAGCTGTTCGACTTCAAAGTGGGAGATCGCGTCAACATTCCCATCTCTGGGTTGCACTGGGATGACCGGTACTTCCCTGAACCTATGAAGTTTGATCCGGAGCGCTTTAGCGAAGAGCGAAAGGGAGAGTTGGTGCCGTATACGTATTTACCTTTCGGCGTAGGACCCCGAAACTGCATTGGTAAGTTAAGACATGTTCCCAATCGGAATTTACAAAATGAAAACCGTACTATGTATATGTAAATTCTTCCAGGAAATCGATATGCATTGATGCAGGTCAAGGGAATGCTGTACAACCTGCTGCTGAACTATAAGATCGAAGCTTCTCCTCGGACCACAAAGGATCTGTGGGAGTCTGCTCGTGGCTTCAATTTCACCCCTAGGTCTGGGTTCTGGATGCACTTGGTGCCGCGAAAATAATCTAATGCGGACGTTGAAAAGACTGCTCAGCTGTTTTAGATTAAAATGCTTACATATATGTTTTTCTTAAATGAAGTAACCACACCTGTTCATATTGCACCATAAAAAGTTTATATAATTATTAAATTTGTTTTAATTCCAATTATAACATAAATCCGAAATTAAGAGAGTAGTATGACAAACAGTGATGCTTGTAACCAAGATTAAAGGGAACTAAAAACTGTTTGGGAGGAAGTATAAGAATCTATAGAATCCCCTTAAGATTTCACCCGGTGACTTGCTTTCAGAATTGCTGTTCTTTTTGTTCTCCTTCTCTTATATTTTTGTGACGATAAATTCAGCTGCACATTTCGCATGCATCACTATGGTCATCCTATTCACTCTAACTTAGTAAGCAACTCTATAGATATATCAACTCAAAATATAGGTTTGTCTCACTTACTCCTAACATCTCGTTAAAATTAACTGTTCGTACTCCTACTAGCATAACATGAAAAAGTACCAAATTAATAAACAACTAGAAACGAGAGGCGCTCAACTACTGTTACATATGTAAATATAATAAAGTAATAGTGTTTATAATTATAATTATAATTTACTGTGAATGAAATTTAATATAAATTTGTTTGTTTAACTATACAATATTTGCCAGAAGAGGTAGCAACAGTATCAATGACGAATCACTCTCCTAGCTTTGGCTTTTATACATAATTATTTTTATCAAACATGTTCACCATGTGGCGTCTAAACTGTTGCGGTGCCAATGTGGCTGATAATTAATCAAATTCGTATTTTTACTCCATAAATTAAGTGCAAAAAATAAATTGATAAAGCTTGCTCCATAAAAGGCTTTGTTCTGAAAAACTAATGGCTTCTCTCATATGATAACAGAAATATAAACAAATAATTGGGAGATAAGTAGCAAACCTCTATCAGCCATATTAGCAATTAACAACAAATGTTCCATTAAAGCCGCAGATAAGTTTGCCAAGTATTGGTTAACTTAAACGCAAATTGTCAAACGTAACAGAAGCGATATCTCCCTAAGAACATAAATAATTGCTCTGGCAATTAGCTAAACTCAGTGAGTATTCTAACGACCCAGCAATCGGACATGGCTCTTCTGGAGCTCTGTCTGGCCTTTCTGGCCATCGGTTTTCTGATCTACAAATGGAGCACGGCCACCTTCAACACCTTTGAGGAGCGGAATCTATACTTCGAAAAACCTTACCCATTTGTTGGTAACATGGGAGCATCAGCCATGCAGAAGGCCTCCTTCCAGAAGCAAATCACCGAGTTCTACAATCGAACTCGACGACAGTAAGTGCTTTGTGAGTCAACCCAAAGTAGCGAAATAACAAGACGATCTTGCGAAATTCTAGCAAAGTTGTAGGCCTCTTCAACCTTCGCACTCCAATGATTCAGCTAAACGACCCCCAGCTGATTAAGAAGATCTGCGTTAAGGACTTTGAGTACTTTCCCAACCACCAGCAGTTCATCAGCCCGAATGAGCGTTTGATAAACGACATGGTCAATGTGATGAGGGACCAGCGCTGGAGGCACATGAGGAGCACCCTGACCCCGGTCTTCACGGCGGCCAAGATGCGCAGCATGTTCACCCTGATGAACGAGAGCTTCTCGGAATGTATGCAGCACCTGGACACTTACTCGAAAACTTCCTCTGGTAAAAAGGGTTTTGAGGTGGACATGAAGGGGTTGTGTAAAAAGCTTTCTAACGACGTCATCGCCACAACTGCTTTTGGTCTTAAAGTTAACTCCTTTGATGACCCCAAAAATGAGTTCCATGAGATCGGGCAGACACTGGTTTTCTCCCAGGGTCTTCCGTTCTTTAAGTTCATGCTTTGCCTTTCGGCTCCGAGATTATTTAATGTAAGTACAGACTAGAGATTTAAGATCTTCCTGGTTTTAGAAGTCTTTTTATTATTATTTTTTTAAATTTTCTTCTTTAGTTTTTGAAACTAAAGATCTTTGACTCCGGCAAAGTTGATTACTTTGTTCGCCTCGTGGTGGAAGCCATTAGGTACCGAGAGGAACACAACATAACCCGTCCAGACATGATCCAACTGCTGATGGAGGCCAAGAAGGAATCGGAGGATAACTGGACGGACGATGAGATCGTGGCCCAGTGTTTCATTTTCTTTTTCGCCGCTTTTGAAAATAACTCAAATTTGATCTGCACCACCACCTACGAACTGCTGCAGAATCCCGAGATCCAAGAGCGTTTGTACGAGGAGGTGAAGGAGACCCAAGAGGCTTTGAATGGCGGAACCCTTAACTACGATACCGTGCAGAAGATGACCTACATGGACATGGTCATTTCTGAGTCCTTGCGCAAATGGACTTTAGCTGCCGCCGCAGACCGTCTCTGCTCCAAGGATTACACCCTCACAGACGATGAAGGCAACAAGCTCTTTGAATTCAAGGTTGGCGACAACGTAAGCATTCCCATCTGTGGTCTGCACTGGGATGAACGCTACTTCCCGGAGCCCAGGAAGTTTGATCCGGAGCGGTTTAGCGAGGAGCGGAAAGGGGAGCTGGTCCCCTATACCTATTTGCCTTTTGGAGTCGGACCCCGCAGCTGTATTGGTGAGTGAATTTCGGCGATTTTTAATTTCCTTAATCATTAATCTTCACTAATTGTTAAATTAATGTCATAAATGCAGCCAATCGCTACGCTCTGATGCAGGTAAAGGGATTTCTTTACAACCTGCTGCTAAGCTATAAGATAGAGGCGTCCGCAAGGACCACCAAGGATCTTTGGGAGTCGGCACGCGGATTTAATGTTACCCCTTCGTCCGGCTTCTGGATGCAGTTGGTGCCAAGAAAGGAATAAAAAGACGGATCAAAAGTTTATGAATAAAATACACAGACATATATTTTACTTTTGATTATGTTTCCATACACACTTGTAGATGATATAGCATAGCTTAGAAATAGGGTTTCGATGAACTCTCACTGGTTGTTGGTTACAAAACTTTCTTCTCTCCAAGTATTCTGGACACATTCCTTCTTTATATAACAATTTCCCTTTCACGCGGAGAAAGCACGCAAATTACATAAAACGTTTGGCTGGCAAACAAAAGAATCTTCAATTTGAATTGTTTAACAAAATGTCCGAAGAAAAGAAACCGCAAATATTGTAAATGTTAATGGTTTTACGTCGCAGAGATTCGTTTTTTATGTGGAAGTGATTTTTGTGAGTTTTTGGCGTTCTGCTTTTGCCATTTTAAATTATTGCACATTTGGCTAATATCTGAAACAGATAATACTTTCACTCTTGCGGAGATTCTTTTGTTTACCATCGATTGGACTTCGTTGGAGCTTATTGTTCGTTGATTGCGATCTTTGTGGTCTCTACTTTTCGTTTGTCTCTGTTCTGCTTACATCTAACTCTAGACTAACTTAGTTTATGGTAATCTGTATATGAATATGCAAATATGATATAGTTTTAGCTTTGTACAACGATTTCTCTCATCTCTGATCTCATATGTGCCTTCTAGCTCGGTGTATTATACATCTCGATATGTTATTTACATCCACGGTTGCCTTCTCCATCTATATCTTTCCTGCTGATTACCACAGAGATTCAAGACAACCATGGTTAGAACCACTCTCTTTCACTTTCACCCACTCCTAGCTTAGACGCTGTAGAGCCTCCCGTTGCTGGTGTGCTGGGAACTGGAGTGGCGGGGCTTGCCCAGCCCAAAGAAGTTCCATACTCTTCTCAGGCAGCCGGGCTTCTTCTCCGGCAGCATCAGACTCTGCTCCTCGAGGATCGTGTCCAGGATGTAGTAGCTGCTCAGGTTGAAGGGCGGAGGCGGCAGCATGGGGGGCGGTCAGGAAATCGTGCAGTTCTTGCTCTCGTGCATGATCGCCGGTGCTCCGCCCAACGCTGTACTACCTCCTCCAGGAACGAGGGACGAGTCCTGGGCCAGCTTCTTCTTGCGTTCGTAGGCCAGCGCGTCGTTGGGCACATAGGCCACTCTCACTCCGCCGTAATGTTTTCGCGCCGGCAGGCGGTACACGTAGTCATCCATGTCGCTCGAAGAGCTGGATGAGCAAGTGGAGCAGATGCTGGCCACGTCACAGTTGTCCAGGTTGTTCAGCAGGTTCAGTTGGCCCGTCCCCACCTGCGTTTGGGCATTGTGCAGGCGGAGATTTGTCTGGTTGATCTGCATCTCGGAGGAGCTGCGCGACTGGTTGCGACGCCTCCTCCGACGTCGGGCATTGGAGTTGTCCGTGTAGCTCTTAGAGCGCGACATCGTGTCCTGGACGCTGTGGAAGCGCACCTCCTTCAGCGGCCGGTTGTCCAGCTGCTCCTCGTCCATCTCCAGATCGCCCGGGTGCTCCTGGTTGCGATTGTTGGTGAAGAGTTGCTCGTAGCCATCGTGGGGCAGCTCCCTCACCGGCTCGTTGTCCAGCTCCAGTTCGTGGGCCAGTTCCTGGGTGCTCTGCGTCAGATCCGAGTTGCTTGGCGAGTTCAGGTTGATCTTGTCGATGCTCTGGTAGCTGTGGGAGTCGTCAGCCTTCGAAAGCAGCATGTCTGGCATGGAATTCGTCAGGGTCTGGGTGTCTCCGAAGATGGACTTGTCGCCGGAGCAGATGTTGTCCAGGCTGATGCCCAGTTCTGTGAGGTCGATGGGCGGTGGATGAGCAGGGCGTGGCATACCGGGAACACCTCCTCCGAGCAGAAGATCCGCCACACCAGCGGCCTCCATTCGCTGCCGCTCCTGGCGCTCAAGGAGATCACCGGCGCTGCCCGTTGCCTTTGGATGACCATGGTGGGTCTTTCGTCCCGAATCCCGCTCCCGATCACCTCCTCTTCGCGGGGATCTAGCTATTTGGCTAGAGGTGGAAGCCCGATGCGTGGGCCTTAGCTGGGGACCCGAACTCGTGTCCGAGGGCGTGGGGGGCTCACCCTTGCTGCAGGCAATAGAGCAGTAGATGGTGCCTCTCCTGGGCAGGAAGGGTCTTCCCAGCAGCGAGCAGCGGCAGGTGCAGCAGCTGAAGCACTGATCCGTCGCATGCCAGTGCTGGCCGTCATGGCTCATCTGGCCCTGGTCCACGCCGATCACTTCCCCACAGTAGTCGCAGTACTCGGCGAACATCGTGTCGAAGCAGGCCAGACAGTACGGCTTGCCCTCGCGCATGATGTACCGCTGACCGCCCAGCTGGTGCTCGCACTCCTGGCAGGCGAAGTGCTTCATGTGCCACGTCCTACCCTCCGCTTCCGTGCACTCGTCTGAGAAGATTATCTGGTGGAAGGGAAGAAGTTAAGGGAAGCAAAGCATTAGGAAAGGATTCTGGATGGTATTTGAGGTGGGTCATTTGTTAATATTATGGAAGAACCTCACAAAAAAGAAGATAAAATAGAAGTTAAGCTGCTACTCATTATCTACTTAGAAAAACTGAAAGTTAAATTTAACATTAAAAACCTTTAAAATATAATTTAAGAGCTTGAAACTAAAGACACTCTAAACACTCTTTAAAAGAAACCACAACCAGAAACTCGACCAGCACTTACCTCATCGCAGGCGGAGCAGCGTGGCTTCTGGGTTTCGGCGTGGTGCCGACCACAGTAGAGGTTCCCGTCCCGCTGGAAGTAGATGAGGTCCACCAGCAGCTCCTTGCAGACGCTGCACACAAAGCAGCCCGGATGCCAGCACAACTGGGCGCCCAAGCGCTGGGCGAAAACCACGATGTCACCGCCCGACAAAGTCTCCTCGCACTGAAAAGGACACGAAAGAAAAGAGACAGGGAGTCAGTAAGGAAAATCCTATAAATAGGAGAAATATGCTCAAGTTCTTCGAGCGATAAAAATCTGCAGCGTCTGGCAGAAATATTTAAGCGACTATAAATGCTAAATAACGGTAATAAAACGCTTAAGCTCGACGCCCCACAGCTCCCCCGGAAAAGAGCCGCCAGCAGGGAAAAGTCCTGGCTGCTCTGCGGTTTTCCCCCACCTTCCTGCTTTCATTCGGATTTTCCAAAGCGGAAGTCATGCAAAAATAGCTGCCGGCCATGTGTCCGCGTGAGCCCGGTGTGCTCGGTGTCCTCGATGTTCCCGAGGTCCACCCCAAAGTGCTCCTCGGTGGATAAGGAAGCGCTTTAAGTGGAGCTGGCTGCTGGGAAATTGCTGAAAACTGAGAAATGCGAGCAGGAAGTGCCGCTTTTAATGACTACTGCCGAGCCAAGCAGCTCGAGACTCGTTAAATTTAAACGCGCTCGCATAATGAACTCATTTCGACCGAAGGGGTTACAGCCACAGGCCAAGTCCTGGTGACGCTTTTATGCCCCTAAATTAAGGTTCTAATTGAGTTCGCTCAGAGGTCAGACTGTCAAACGGAGAGCTCCAAACTATTTGAAGAGCCGGTTTATAGATATTTTTAAAGGAACTATTTGAGAACCCATAAAAATCTTCATTTTAGTTAAATATTTTATTCGAACTGCGAATCTTTTAAGTCTTAAGGGGTTAAAGAATGTTATTATTCTTCAAACTTCTAACAGTTTATTAAGAAAGTGTAGGCTATAAATTATATTTGTTTCGTTTTACCAAACAAAAGTTAAAACAGTTAAATAATAAAATAAACTCACATTTTTTATGACTATCAGATATATATGTATAGTCCAATAAGCAATGAAAACATGCAATCCACCAAGGTAATCCTCAGAGGAATAAATTAACTACGGTGCTTATTTTCAGTACTTTTTAGCTGTACGAGCATGTAAAACTTATCTACTACTATCTACTACTATCTACTACTATATACTACTATCTACTACTATGTACTACTATATACTACTATCTACAACTATCTACTACTATCTACAACTATCTTCTACTATCTATACTATTTCTATCAAACGCGAAGCGAACCATTCAATTGTTTGTTGTAAATGAAATTATAAAGTAAACCAAAAGAGCAGCCTTTTGAATTTTAAGTCACTTGAAAAAAACAAAAAAGCCTATGGCCAAAAATGGGTTCTCTATAAAATGTTTGAAATCTCAGCCTAAAATTCTGGGCAGAAGACCCCAACTTGATGTATTTGTAGTGCTCTATTTTCATAAATATATTTTGATAGAATCCCCTCACCTGTCTGCCACTTTTCGCATTTCCGGCTGAAAGTAATTAGCCCGCCCGCCCTGATATATGCACAATCCCCGTTGGAGTCACATGCAGCTCCTTCTAACCAGAGCCCAATCTTATGAAAGTTCCCCGCCAATTTGCACCCTCATTTCAGGCAGTTGGCGAGATTGCTCGACTGCGTCTCTGTTTTCGGTTTCGGCGGTTTCTGGCGCAGGCAAATTACCCGACGCCACCACAGAGCCACCGCATAAGAATCAGGCATCCAGGCATTGCCATTGCCAGTCAGCCAGCATCCCGGAGCCAGCAACCAGGAGCTCCTTAACTTTCCAGGCTATTAAACCTCAGCGCGGGCGATGCTCCCGCTCCGTGGGATGCGTCCCGTTCATGGACCCACATTCTCCATGGAGTCCCCGCAATCAGCATTTACTTTTGCAAGCCATTAAGCATTGACAGGCGAAGGCTTCGGGCTCCGCCGACTGTACAGGGTTGATAATTTCCCGAGGCGTAAGTAGCTTCCCTCTATGCGTCGTTAATTGTTTGGCAAGTTCAAAAATTTATCGCCTCGGGCCACGAAAATCATAAAAACCCAGTAGCTGCGCAGTGCGCACTTTAATTAGGCAGTTCCCCAGCCCTTTTGGCCTGGCTAATGACGCATTGAAGTCGGAATGGACTTGTCCTTGCACTTCGGTGTGGCTAACCCCCAGGAACTCGGCAAAAAACTTTTCCCGCAGGAAGAGCTTTAAGTAGTTTCTGTGGTGGGGACAAAGTGCTAAAGTTTCCAGCTTCGATGGGGGGCTGGATTCCAAATGCCACGCTGCGAACTTAACCAATTTCGGTCCTAAGCCCGCCCCGCCATTGATTAGTTTGTCCGGAAAATCTGTGCACTTAAAATGACATTTTTCATTGGACTGGCAGGCCGACCGGCTAAATGTCATGTAAATAACAGCAATCGCTGCTCATTTATCTTATCAATCCAATTAATCCCAGTTGGCGCTTGTTTGCAGCCACTCTGCGCCAGACAATTATGCTATTGACAAATTGTTGCCGTCGTCGTCGGTGCCATCGCAGCACCTAGCTCAGCCGACTGAACCCGGATGACCCGGGGTGAGGGTAGTGTCCTTGCTAACCCATTTCGTGTCCGGACTAATCCCACTCGGAGCGACAAACTTCGCTGGCAGACGGGCAAGACGGTATCCTGCCCCAATCCAATCCCCCCAAACCGCCCCGAAAAGCAACTCAAATTATTAATGACGCTCGTTATCATGCCCTTTTCAGTACATAAACTTTTCGCTTAACAGCCACTGCGCTTCACCTTCCTTTTACTGGTTTTTCTTTTTGCTTTGCTTTCACTACCTTGATGCACTGAAGAAAATTACTAGCTTCTTTTTAAATACTAATAAAACGAATTATATAAATGATATAGTATATGATTTCCCAAATCTGATATTAAATCATTTTGCTTAATAATGAAATAAATTCTTATCAACTCCTAAGTATTTTTCACAGTGTACATGTAATACATATATTTCTTGCAGCAAAGTGCCGAGTCTGAGATGGCTTTTCTTGTAATTATTTCATTGTTGCCAGGACGACCTTTAGTGTCACATCCTTGTCAAAACTTCAACTTCCGCTCGTTGCTGTTCGTGCGGAAAATCTGTCAAGCAGAGTGCCACTCCTCCTGCCCTCCTGGTTTCTGGATTCCATTATTTTTTGGCTAAATCATTGCCAGTTGGATGTGACACACGTTTGCGGCCCACGTTGCTACTCATTTACGGCTGACTGACTGCTGGAGCTTCCTCCCTTCGGGATTCAGGATCATTGAACGTTTTCATAAATTTTCCCTCATAATTTCCCCATGCTTTCCACGCCATTCGATTCGAACTGTCGGGGATGAGACCTTTGTTCGCATTTTAACGTCCGTTTAGCAAGTCAGTTATGGTCTGTGAATTCTAAGCACTTTTGCCTTGGCCTTAATCTGGGGACAGGGGATGGCTTCCGATTTTCAAATCCTTTTAAAGTTTATCAGATTTAACATGGTAACGAAGTAGAAAGTTTGGCGAAAAACGCCTACACGGTTCGGCGAACTCTTTGATTCGGCTTCCTTTCATAGAGCTTTTTTCCTACCAAGCTTTTTTTCGGATTTAAATTCAATAATTGCTTCACTTGAATAAGTTTCTGCACTTCAAAAATATTGAGATTCGAATATGTCGATTATACATTCGTTCAATTTCCTGTTTCTGCTTTTCATCTCTTTTAAAGGCTTTAAAAACGTATTTAAAACTGAAATATACAGACCTAACGGCTGCACATGGCTTTAAAGATATGTTTCAGCTTTTCAAAGTTTGGGGCACTTGCTGCTAACCAAGTTCGCACTGATTATTCGGAACCCTAATGAACTCCAGCCTTGGAAGAGTGTTGGCCAAGTTGGGCGCCAGTCATAATAAACCCAAGTCGTCTGCCAATTTGGACATCCCAAACAAAATCAGACACACGCACACGGCCCCTGGCGAGTCCCTATCCTACGGATTCCCAAATGCCCGCGCACGTAGCAGACGGATACCGGAATCGGATTCGGAGACCAGACCAACCGACCAGAAGAGACTGGAGTGGATCCGACCAGCTCCCAGACACGCAACATGCGGCATAAAGTTTTTAATAAGTTTTACGAGCGGCGAATGTGAGCACAATAAAATCGAGCTGCCAACTATCACCCGGAAAAGTGCCGAGATGACCAAGTGCACAGCGGCGTGCCGGCAAAGGATAGTCCTCCGACTGTCAGCCAATAACAATGCAAACTTCCCAGGCCAGACTGTGAAAGGATGCAGTGCTGTGGGTGCCACCTCGGCCACCTCTGCCACTACTTCATGCCACTGCCATTGTGCTTTAGTGCCATTTCATTGCGTCTCTCGCCGGCTACTCCATTCACTTTCCGCGCTAGGAAAACTTTAGAGGGAAAAGCTGCGACTCTCTTAGCCTTTATGTTGTCGGAGCCAAGTCACTGCAATTGTTTTTGCAACAACGTTTTTCATTTCTAGCTCCCCTCTTCGCATCCCCGGCTGAAAGTGTACTTAATGAAATCTTTTTGTCATCTTTTACTTCGAGACGTTTGAAAGTTGGCAACACCGCCGTTCCCCACCCTGCAGACCCATTGTTTTCCCGGGCCATTGTCAATTTTTTTGCTACTCTAGCTAGCCGGGCCAAGAAGGAATCTCTGGCGCAAAACTTCGCCCAGCCAGGCACAAATGAAATCGAAACGACTCTTCATCTTCATACTTTCCATGCATAATAAAATGCAAATTTCTGCAACAATTAAGTGTGCGGGAGGGGTGGATACTGAGAGGGGGAAAATGCTGGGCAAAAAAAATTGTTTTCAAACTTACCCCCTTGCAGGGTCGCTCGTCGGACAGCAGGCGGACCGCCCCTCTGCCAAGGGCCTCCCTCTTCCTTTGGGCCGAGAAGATTCGCAGCTCCTTGCGCTCCTCGTCGCTCAGCGAGTGGCAGTAGCGCACCTGCAACAGACACGTAGACGGGAAAGTCAGCAAGTCAGTTTCTGTATTTTCCTGAATTTTAATTAAGGCAACTCAAAAGGCGGCGGCAAGTTTTTTAATCTCGCCGGGCCTTTTGAAGGGCTCTCCCTTTATATTCTGTTTTCAATGCCCGCATCGGGCTAATTATAAATTTTGTCACAACGAGATGGCTTAAATGGTAGTTCAGCTAACATTTTTCGGCAGGAAAATCTAGCTACTATGAGTTTTCATAAATTAAATTTAAGCTAATAATAATAGTACTCTCTAATGGATATAAGCCAACCTTTATGTACATAAATCGCTTTTTCAAAAACATTTAACAATGAATTTTTGCCTTAACAATTGCAAAATATTTATTAAAATTTTACAAATAAATAAATAAAATAAACATTTAGTAATTTAGCATATTTCAGCACATGGCCAATCGTTTTATTTTCCCAATTAAAGTCAATTTTCACACTTTAAATGCTGAAATGCTTTCAAGGTTTTCCTGCAGTTTTACTTTCCTTTTCAAAACTAATTTAAGAGTGGCCAGTGGCTTATCGGCACTCCCCATTGTCTTAAATTTCTTTTACCAACTGTGTTCTTTTGGCCCTCTTTTCTGCCCAATACTCACTTCGTTATCTTGTGGCGGCAGCTGGTGCAGCAACTGCTTGACACGATACTTTTCGCCGGGACTGTTGACGTAGGGCACTTTGTCGTCTGGCAGTTGGCTGAAGTACAAGCGGACCTGCGAAGTGGAAAATGCAAATCGGAAGTTCAGTTAGCGCCAAGGAAATGGTTAATCTTTAAATCTAATTTGACAAATCATAACGAAATAATCGAAAGTTGAAAGAAATTGTTTCACGCCCACAAAATCGTGCAAGTGAAAAGTGTCGCTATGCTGGGAAAATGCAGTCCGAGGAAAAGAAAAAAAAACTACAAGCCAATTTGAGAGGTTTTTCGGACTTTCCCAGGAGCTGTTATGTAAGCCTCCGCCCCGAAATAAAATATCGACAGGCATTTCAAGCTCTAATTGCCGCCAAATGTATCGGCAATTTAATTACAAAACGCTTTCGCTTTCCACCAGATTCCGATCGCGATTCGGGAGCGATAATTTCTTCAGCTTGTAATTAAAGTGGTTTCCCGGCCGATTTCCTAAAGCTCACAAGTAAGTGGCCAACGACCACCACCAGACATTGAACTGGATTTGGTTTTGGTTTTCGTTTTGGTTTTGGTTTTGGCAGTTCGATTGGGAGAGCGTGGAAAATCGAACGAAAGCAAAAGCTTTCAGCGGGTGGCCTGCGGCTCCAAGAGGCAACCACCTCGCCCCAAATCGCTCCGCTTGAGATTTCACTTAATTAGTTGCGACAAATCGGTACACATGTCGAGGATGATGACGATGCTGGGCGTGTTTTAGTTACACACTCGGAAAAACAAGTGCCTCAAGTATTACTTGAAAAATCATCCAAGAACCACATACTTACATACATATGTAGTAGAAAGTGAGTTAAACTTTAACTTGTCGCAGGCGGTCACACTGTCGTGTGTTACAAACAGTCACACTAACTTATCTGTACACACTTAGGTGTAAGCACAATGTATGCCTCTCCCTTACTTTTGCATAAAGATCATGCTTACAAGCACTATGAGTGTCCTGCTCGCACTATTAGTAAATTTCACCAATACATGTAGAAATTAGGCTATGATAGAATAAGATAACGGAATAACGAACGCTTTTTTTTTTGACCGCACAAGAGATCGGTACAGTAAGACGCCTACAAACTGTATATCAAAAGCTAGAAATGTTTCATAACTTTAGTAACTATTTTAACTCTTTTTAATATGCATAATGTGTACCGCAAAACTCCCAAGCAATTAAAATTAAATTTTTTAAGTTGAACCACAGCGGAACTTCCATAACTTGAACTTCCTTTCACGTTTTTGAGTTTTTAATTTGAGTTTTAATAACAGTGTTTAGCGGCAATATTTCATATTATTAACTTTCAATAAAATACAAACTAAAAAAGTATGATTATGAATTTGAATATTTAATAACCTACTATTTTCTTGATAATAATAGAGGTCTTAGTTAAGTTAAACTGTTATAAGGTAAAATAACACACTGACTCCCTTTGTTTACATAACCTTACTTATGCAAATATTTTTCTACAACTGTCGGCAAGAAAGTTCTGCTGTAATTTGTGTTTTAAGTTGTCATTTTAGTTAAAAACTAAAATTAGTCGAGCCTTTGGGGCATGCCTTACCTGATCTGGTCGCAGACCCGGCGGCACCCAAGTGTACTCCTCGAGGGCGCAGCCACTGTCGTCGTCAGACTGCGAGTTCCGCTGGAAGTCAAGCTGCTGGTGATGGCTGTGGTGGAAGCCGTGACCTGCGACTGCCGCCGCAGACTTGTAGCTGGCGGTGCGGAGCGGCGAGGCGACCGAGTTGAGCGGCAGGTGGCTGGGTGGTTGGCAGTGGCGGCGCTGCAGCGGCGACACAAAGTGACCAGCTGACCCCAGGGCTCCACCGCTGCCCCCACTGCCACCGCTTCCGCTGGAGGCAGCAGAGGGCACGTCCAGATTGGATGTGGAAGCCACCTGACTGCCCAGCGAAGTCGGCTGCAGGGCGCTGACCGCTGACTCGGGGCGTTGTGAGTGTGAGGCATAGGCCAGGCCCGTTCCGCCCGCCTCAATCTGCAGCAACTCGCTCTCCGTCTGCGTGTAATAGCTGCTGCTGGGCGGATGATGTTGCTGCTGCTGCGGGGTCGGTTGCATGTTGCCGGTGGAACGTGGTGCGGGCGTGGGCTTGAATTTTCGGCTGACTTGGCTGGACTGGGTGCTGCAAGATAGAGATAGAAAACGAAAGAGAAATCATTATGAGGTGTCCAGATTACGAAACAATCATTAGATATGGTTTCTAGTTTTCAGAAGTAATAAAGACTAATTAAAGGAAAGCGAAACTAGGCTACAAAATTAATACTCCATGAATTGTGAAATTGGTTTAATGGAGATTTTAAGCTTAATGACTTTCTTTTTGACATGTTAAGATAATATGAAAATGATCAATTGATTTGATTTGAAATGGTAAAATCATTTAACTAAGCTCTATGCTCCAAAAATGATTGTAAGACTAAATGAGCTGCTTTTTGTATCTGAGAAGCCCATCTACGGAATGCCATTGCGTCTAATATTCAGCTTAATCATTCCTGATTCCATCTGCCCGACTCATTTGCAATTAGTCTGCTGGCCTAGCGGAAAAGTTATTCGTTTTGAATGCCGCAGGCATTTGAAATGACTTTTGAGTGCAATTACGGCGCAGCTGCATGCGTGCAGTTGTCCAATCAAATCTGATGAAACTCCGAACCCGAATCCGAATCTGAATCCGAGTACGAATATGAAATTGCATGCCCCGGCAGCGTCATAAGGTTTTGTGGCCATTCGCTTGACCACTGCCCACAGTGGAATCTTCTTCTGCGCCGCTTTCTGTTGTACTTTCACTCGATTTGTGGCACGCTGCGCGATTATGCAGCCAAGCAGAGACAGCCGAGAAATTCCAGCACATGGCCCACCGAGGAGACGGTCATGTTTCAGCCTCAACTCCATGTTTATGTGGCAATTAAAGTCATTTGTTTGGCTGGGCTCCGAGTCTTGTGTGAGCTCTGAGCTCTGTGTGTGAAATATTAAACTGTTTCATTCACAAACGGCTCACATTTGTATATCGAATTGCGTAATTTCCAGAGCATGAACCACAGCCAGACAAAGCCATTAGGCCTTCTGTATTAAAATTTACTAATCAACGTGAGAAAAAGCCCGACCAATTTGCCATTCCACCGAATCTTCCATCGATTTATCTACGAGGCCTGCTGGTTTATGCAAATCAAAGGCCTCTCATCACAATCGGATTTTGGCCTTCTGCTAATGAAGCTCAGCCCACAGAGCGGCGGAAAGTGAACGCCACTCTGGGTGGAAAGATATGGAAGAAAAGGTATGCAGGTACATTAGTACCAGATGGATGACCAGGAGCCATTAACACCTCCGTACAGCTCTCTGAGTACAGAGCCTCTGAGTGCCACTGGAATGCCACAGCGTGTGGGGAGAAAGTTTATGGCCACTCTTTTTGTAGGCTTCCAATGCAAATTTCGTTTGTTCGCAGGTAGGTTCGGTGCCAAAAGTTGATCGATCACGAGGTACTTTCTAAACAGTTTCAATCCGGACAGTCCGAGCTGGGCCAAAACAAACTGCCAACGGCCAGGGCGTAATCTGTCACCCAATGAATTGGGAATTGTGCGACTGACTTGTGGCGATTGACTTTGATAGCGGAAAACAGCGGCCTAGCGCCGGGGTAAGAAACCACACCAGATTCGAATCACATCAGATCGGATCAATTCAAATCAACACACAAAACACACAGGTCCCAGTCACAATCCCAAGACCAGCTGCCGAATATGGTCAACAGTTGTTTGGCTGCCACTTTTCAGATGGCCTAGACGCTTTTCGGTTTTCTCTTTTCGACCAGAGAAACCTGTTGCCGACCGTTTCTATACGGGTGCATGCGATTTCTGCACTAAACGCCACTTCGCCAGGCGCAAAATACGCAAAAATGCCGAATGGCCAACTACGGACCGCGGCCTGGACATATACATAAATTTGGGTTAAGAAGATTTTGAGTTTATTTGGTTTGATGCCTGTCATTTCCTTGATGGCCTGTCGCCATCGCGCACTTCTGAGGATAATTAAAAGTAAATTGTTTGACACTCAAATCGGATGGGAATGGTCAGAGAGATATGGCTCTGCTGGTCCGCAACTGGCAATCCGGTCTTCTAGCTTGGCCAACAGCCGCATTTTTGGTATTTTGAAGACACTTTTGGGAATTATCAGCGATTATCGTTGGTAGATGTTTGTGAGTGTACGAATGCACTGAATATTTGTACAAGTTTGTTGCAATATTGGGGACAAGTCAATGCAGAAACTTAGCTTTGAGGAAGAGTATACTTTTTGTATAAGTTTGGCCAAAAACCTAACCTACATCATCAGTTCGTTTTACTTTTCACTTTTCATAGAAAACGAAACTGTTATGGTAAGAGGTTTTTATGGCCCATTAAAAAAGTTATTCGAATCCAAAGGCCTCATGATGAAGCAGTTAAATTCCAAAACATCGTCGGAAAGGACAACTACATCATCAACTTTACTTCATATGATCATAGCTAATGGCTACATGAAAAGTATTTCCCTATTTGGAATGCGTTTCGCACATCCATTAACCATTTCAAAAGCCGTGTCCCGCTTTGTATCCCCTTTCGAATCGATTGCCACATCTTACGGGGCTTAGCTTCGATCTGATCCAATCCGAAACAACCCAATCCTATGCGCCGCTTATTAACGGATTTTTTAGCAATTGCAGCACGTCTTGTGTTGCACAAATGCCAAATCCCAGCTGTAATAATATCTCAATTATGTGCAACACCACAATATCGATAGCATTTCTATTCGTTCCACGGTATTGCCGCAGTGTTTCGACGATTTCATTAAATTTTAGGCACGCAGTTTCCCCAGAAAAGTCCGCAGCAGGAACACGTAACTGGTTCAAAATGATTTAGGCCCCTTTAGATCCCCACAGAAAACGAGAACCAGTTTTCCAATGGGGCACCGACTGGTGATTCTGGGAAATGCTAAATGCACTACGACACAGAACGGCAGCAGGCAGCAATTGAGGCACTGGGAAACGAAATTAATACGTAACATGCAATTCTTAATAATTGAAAAGAGTCGAGGCAGCCAATCCGCATTAAATTACTTTCACAATTGGCCGAAAGATAAACGCTCGTCTCGGCCAGGTTAAGCCTGGCATTAGGCCTAGTAATGCTTGATTATCCATGACCAGCACACGATCTTTAGATCTCTTCGATCTGCTATCTGCTATCTGCTATCTGCAATCTTCGATCCAGAATCCTGAATCGCATTTATATCTGGCCAGGGGGCGTGGCGGTTCAGGGCAGGCCAGAGCAGTTCAGGGCAGGGCAGGGCAGGGCCCATTATGAAATCTCGTTCATTGGCCCCCCCAACTCGTGACCTTGTGTTGCGTTGCGTGTTCCATTGTCTGGCCGAAACGACTCCCAAATGCCGCAATTTATTCCTCTATGCAGCCGACTTTCGGGTTAAACTGCCGCGTTTGACTGCCTTTACGTCACACGAATAACTCCGGCCCATCTGCCTCGAAACCGGGCAGTAAACAAAAAACTCCGTACATGCAATCGCGTCATATGTTGCACGTGTTGCTGTCGCTCAGCGTTTTTAATGCATTTCGCCTCGGTTTCCCTCAGCTTCTTCTCTTTCTTTATGGGTTTTTGTCCGGACATGAGCACATTTTGTGTGCCTGTCTGCAGCTCGGCTTCACCTGGAGTCGCCGTTGGGACCTGGACGGGGATAACAGTGGGTCTGGGCCTGGGTCTGGGTTTGGGTTTTGGCTTGAGAGCCAGTCAGGCCAGTCGTTGCACAAGTTCCTCGATCATGGGGATGTGTGTGCAGCAACGCCTATTTAAGTACCGCGTGGTGATTTAGTGCAGCGTTACCGTTAGGCGGTACACGTTATTCGCTATTCGCTATTCGGAGTCAAGGCTAGTGATAAGCAAAAGCAATAAGCTAGCTGGATTGCATCTGGCAGAGGCGTGAGTGTAGAATATTTTTGAAGGGGTCTTAGGAGTTTATGCTTACTACGGAAGGCAGTCAGGGGAAATATTTGCATTAAATTAATTTAAAATATATAAAAATTTAAGTATTTACTTCTACGAAAGATATTATAAAAAGATGAAGATGAGTTTAATATTTCATAAGTAGAAACTACATTCTTTTTGGGGAGTCTTAAGACTCAGAAGTTCCCACTGCGGGGATGCCACTCCCAGATTTACATAGAGATAGCCGAGTCAAACAAGAGCTTCGTAGTCAACAGCTCCAGCATCTGGATCTGCATTTTCAGCAGCGGCTAAAATGCATAATTAATCGGCGGGGCCAAGAAGAAGCTTCGGCCAAATGCACTTGGCCAGCCCACACTCGCAGTTTTGCGATTTGAGAGCGAGTTGCTGATGCTGTTGCCGCTAATGTTGCTGCCGCATTGCATGTTGCAGGTTGCTAGTTGGTAGTTGGTAGTTGCATGTGGCATGTGAGGCGAAACAGAACCGAAAACCCAACTCCACTCAAGTCGGGTTTGAGTCGAGTTTGAGCCAAGTCGCGTTCCGTCATTAACAGCTTTTGCTTAATTTTATGCAGCCAACCAATGCCACTCCCCCTTTGGCCCCAGCCCACAGCCCACCGCCCAACGCCCCTCTTGCCACGCTGTCAACAAGTTTGGACACGTTTCAGCGATTTTCATGTTGCATGGCTCGCTCTAATTTATGCAAAATGTTGTTCTTCTTCTGTAATTCACTTCGTGTTTTCGCTGGCTACTTGTTTTGCCTTTTTTTCGAGCCATTTTTCAGCGAACTTCAATTCTTATGGCCAACTAGTTGCCTGGCTTCATTAGTCCCCCAAGTTGATGGCCAACTTTTCAAGAGAGCGTGTGTGTGTGTGTGTGTGTGTGATTTTTCAGCCTTATTGACTTCCCTGAATCGGAATCAAAATGGGATTCTGTTAATTATAATTGCTTTCGAATATAGTTCCCGAGTCGTTCCAATTGCTGATGGATGGAATGAGCCAAGTTCCGTTGTTCTGAACTCGTTCCCAGCCATACAATTGAACCATTTAGCTAGCTGTGAATTCCTGGCCCGAAAGATTACTTGCCAATGATAGGAGGCTGGAGGCTCCCACAGGTCTTAGACATAAATTAAATATCTCCTCTAATTTGAT